AGGGCTCGCACAAACAATCCGGCCACGGCCGATGGTGTTATGAGTGTTGTAAGAATGCCCACCCAGTGCCCATTCCCACACCCAGACACAGCCCGCCACGGTGCAGGGCTAGCACAAATAAAATCGACTCAGGTCGATTGTGCAAACAATGTAGTAAACGCGCCCATGTCACCATGCCCGCTCACACTACATGCTGCGTGTCCCTTGGTTTCTGTAAAAACGAAACCAACACACATTCAGTCGGCCATGAACGACAGTGTTTTCAGTGTAATAAATGTGCCCGCAGCCCCGCGCCCACATTTTCTCACAGACACGCCGATTCCTACGGGATCTCCCCCGCTCGCTTTTTCTGCACAATCTGCCATAAAAAAGCTGAGCGCGGTCAGGCCGCCCGCTGTGATCAGCGCGCCCCCCGCCTCGAACGCTGTAAACAAGGTGTTGTGTTCCCAGTATGCCCGGGCTCTCGAGCTGCCGTTTTGCCGCGACCAGAGCCCGGATTTCATTCTGCCCCTAGCTATTCACGCAGATGCGTGGTCAAAGCTTCCCGGGGTATCAGAATGGGTGCTGAACACTATAAACAGAGGCTATTCGCTACAATTCGCTCGACGCCCGCGCCGTTATACGGCGCGTGTCGAAACTACGGTGAAAAACGAAGTGTCTCATCTACTTCGTGCCGAGATAGCGAAACTACTGAGCAAAGGGGCTATAGAACCTTTATCTCAGGCTCAGAGCGAAGGGGGCCTATACAGCAGATATTTTCTGGTGCCGAAAAAGGATGGGGGTCTCAGACCCATTTTAGATCTACGACAGCTGAACAGAGTGCTTGTCGAACGCCAGTTCAGGATGCTTACGACCAGGAAAATCCTCGCGCAATTGCGCCACGGGGACTGGTTTATGTCGATAGATCTGAAAGACGCCTATTTCCAAATACAAATAGCGTCCCATTACAGGCGATTCTTGAGATTCACCTTCGGGGGCCAGGCATATCAATACACAGTCCTGCCGTTCGGCCTGTCCCTAGCACCTCGTACATTTACGAAGTGCATGGACGCGGCGCTCGCACCCCTGAGACTTCAGGGCATGCGAGTCCTGAACTACTTGGACGATTGGCTGATTCTAGCTCGATCACGATCGGAGCTCATAGAACACAGGGCCGCATTACTCGAGCACCTCGAGGAGCTGGGCCTCACAGTCAATTGGGCGAAGAGCTCTCTGTCTCCCAGTCAGAAAATTTCCTTTCTGGGAACCGTGTTGGACTCGCTGTCCATGACAGCACGCCTGTCACCAGAGCGCGTGCTAAATATTCAGCGCGGCGTGAAATCCTTCCGCCACGGCGATAGTTCCGCTCAAAAGGTTTCAGAAAATGCTGGGGCTGATGGCCTCAGCAGCCTCTGTACTCCAGTTGGGCTTGCTCCGCATGCGCCCACTGCAGATGTGGCTGAAAGCGCGGGTTCCACCCAGGGCATGGACAGCGGGTCTGTTTCGCCTCAGGGTCGACCTTCAGTGTGTTTCAGCTCTGGAACCTTGGAAAAATACCGACTGGTATCGGTCAGGTGTGAGTCTGGGGACCGCTTCGAGTGTGAAGGTGGTGTCTACGGACGCCTCCACCTCTGGGTGGGGAGCGCTGCTCGAGGGCAGACCGCTAGCTGGCCTGTGGTCAGAACGGGAAAAGCTCCTTCACATAAACTGCTTGGAGATGATAGCAGTCGACAAAGCGCTACGGCGTTTTTGTCCCCAGGTAACAGGCCACCACGTCTTGGTCCGGTCGGACAACATGTCAGTGGTGGCATACATAAATCGCCAGGGCGGCGTCAGGTCACGAAACCTTCACAGGCTGACGGAACGCCTCCTGGTCTGGGCTCAGCACAACCTGCTCTCACTGAGAGCAGCGCACGTGCCTGGTCACCTGAATGTGGGACCAGACAGACTGTCCAGGAACAATGTTCCAGCAGGGGAATGGTCGCTGCACCCGCAGACGGTCCAGCTGCTGTGGAAAACGTTCGGCAGAGCACAGGTGGACCTATTCGCGTCCCACGAAAACGCTCATTGCCCGGAGTTTTTCTCGAAAAGCAAGGACGCGCTGGCTCATGTTTGGCCCTGCTGCCCCCTATATGCTTTTCCTCCTGTCTCGCTCCTGCCTCAGGTGTTGGAACGAATCAGGGAGAACGGATGCCCAGTGCTGCTCGTAGCTCCGCTCTGGACAAACCAGAAGTGGTTCCCTGCCCTGATGCAGCTGACCAGCACTGCCCCATGGCCTGTACCGTTGAGGAGAGACCTCCTCTCTCAGGCGGAGGGCTCGATTTGGCACCCTCGCCCGGAGTTGTGGTCCCTGCACGCATGGGCCATCAACGGGTACCCGCTAGCCTCCCAGAAGGAGTGTTAAACACGATCGCGCAGGCTAGAGCTCCGTCTACCAGGCGGCTCTACTCCTCGAAATGGTCTGTTTTCTCTGCATGGTGTCAAGCCCAGAGCTTTTCACCTGTGGAATGCGGGGTTTCGGAAGTGCTTTCCTTCCTTCAAGAGCTACTGGATAAGGGCAGGACCCCATCCACGCTCAAAGTATATGTGGCGGCCATAGCAACGTTTGCAAAACCGGTGTCTGGCCAGTCGCTGGGGAAAAACGACTTAGTCGTGCGTTTCCTTAGGGGAGCTCGGAGGCTGAACCCTCCCAGGCCCCCTTCAGTCCCGACGTGGGACCTTTCCACGGTCCTGGAGGCCATGAAAGGCGCCCCGTTCGAGCCAATCCAGCTGGTGGACATGAAACGCCTGTCGTTCAAAACAGTGTTTCTCATGGCTCTCGCTTCAGTGAAGCGCATAGGGGACTTACAGGCGCTTTCAGTAAGCGCGTCGTGTATGGAGTTTGGGCCTAATGACTCGAAGGTCATTCTCAAACCAAAGCACGGGTATGTCCCGAAATCCCTCAATACACCGTTCAGGGCCCAGGTAATTTCCCTGTCCGCCCTTCCGGTTCTCAGTGAGGAGGAGGATGCGAGTCTCCTTTGCCCCGTCAGGGCATTGAGAGCTTATGTGTCACGCTCGTCTGTTTTCAGACAGACGGAGCAGCTTTTTGTTTTGTTTGGCGGGCGTTCCAAGTGACTCACCGCCTCAAAACAGAGCCTATCCAGATGGATAGTGGATGCCATTGCGCTCGCTTTCTCTGCGAAGGGCCTACAGTGCCCCTTGGGTGTCAGGGCGCACTCCACGAAAGGCGTGGCCTCTTCGTGGGCATGGTCAAGCGGGGTTTCCCTGCAAGATATCTGTACGGCCGCGGGCTGGGCCTCGCCGTCTACATTTATAAAATACTATAACCTGGAGGTACCCGCCTTACAAGCTAAGCTTTTGGCGGTCTAAAATTCAGTGCTATCTGCCCCGCTGTGCGGCCCAGATGCTGAGTTTACTGCAGCCCCATGAGTGTTGACACACGTATGGCCACCCAGATCAGGCTGAAAGCTTTCACCCTGGCTGCGCGTTTTATTGTCATATAATAGCCCCGCTGGGTGCTTTTTTTATAGGGAATGACGCTTCCAGCCTGTCTTCCTCCACTCTATGTGAGTTTATGGTGATTATGCACTACATGAGCCCTGGGCTTCGGCCCCCGGGACTTTGGTGTTGGATCCCTGTACGCACGGCGTGTTGCATTGTGTTCCCCTAGCGTAAGCTATTACGCAGTACGAGAGATACTCTCGTAAGAGAACGTACTCGGTTACTAACGTAACCTCGGTTCTCTCTAGAGAGGGAACGAGTACTGCGTATCTTGCCGTGCTTGGAATACGCTCTGGTTCGCTTCAGTGATAAAAACCAGCTTGTATCAGCCTAACGAGCATATTTATAGGGTGAGACCACGCCCCTTCTGGCGGGACGTGACGATATGGGCGCGAATTGCCCCCATTGGTCATTACGTCACGCAGAGTCTCTCTCGATAGGCTGCTGCATTTGCTGCAGAGCAACCAATAGGCGCGCGAGCTGTTTCGCCTATGTCTGCTTGCTGCTGCAAAGCGTTTTACATTAATAAAAAATTAAGGATAATTTTTGGCTTCAATATCTCGCGGAAAAGAGTTTTTCCCCTAGCGTAAGCTATTACGCAGTACTCGTTCCCTCTCTAGAGAGAACCGAGGTTACGTTAGTAACCGAGTACGTTTCTGCCGCTGCCTCAGAAGACGTAGTAGGCCTAGTCCAGCGCGGTGGCTACATATTTTCATGTTGTAATTAAGACAACATCATTTTGTGAACCCTTCCACGTTGCTGCTGGATTGAAAACAAAATTAAACATGTCTCCATTATATTGTAATCTTCTGCTCGACCGGCACTTTACAACAACACAACCTTGTTTCTGCATCGACATTCAGCGCATTTATAACAATGTCTGACACTTTGCATTTTAAATGGAAAGAAAGTGACTTACGTGAAATCTGATTAGAGCGGTCAGACTGAAACGGATTTCCAGAAATGCATTTTGTATAGGATTTCAAAACACAAGAATGTTGCTCAAAAATGGATTATTATTTTTTTTTTTCGCGTTCACATTTGCTAAATATGATCGGATTTCAGTCGGATATGCAAAAAAAAAAAAAACATATTTGGACTGACACTCTGAACGAGGCTTTATCACATTCCAATCGGATACATACACATATAATTGGATTTGGACTGACACTGTGAACAGTCTACATGGTCTCATGATACTTATGAAACTTTATCTCTCATTAGTTGATGTATTGTACAGCCTGGTTTCACAGACAGGGTTTAGATTAAGCCAGGATTAAACCTTAGTTCAATTAGGGCATTTAAGTAGCTTTTATAAATATGCTTTAAAAAAACATTAGTGATGTGCATCTTGAGACAAAACAATGGCAGTGACATATTTTAAGGTATCTCAGTGCAAGCTGCTTTCAGGTAAAACAGCTCAAACATGCATTTTAGTCTGGACTAGGCTCAAGCCTTGTCTGTGAAACCGGGGGTAAGTGTATTAAATGTATTAAGTGGATGTGATAATGTTCCAGTGATGGCAAGGCTGCCAAAACCTCCTGCAATGAAGAAAAAGCCAAGGCCATGAAGAATGAAAATAATGAGGTTGTGTATGTGGACCCACCAGATGGCGGTTGGGGTTGGATGGTGGTTCTGCATTGTTTTCTGGTATGTCATTAATTACACTTTTATATACTTTTAGAGCTTCTTTGTTATGATAATACTGAAGTGTTTTGTATTGAGCTAAAATCTTCTGGTGTCTTTTCAGGTGAACGTGTTGGTGATGGGTACATTGAAGAGCTTTGGTATCTTCTTTGTGGCACTGCAGGATGAGTTTGGAGGCTCGTCCGAGAGCATCAGCTGGATTGGATCCATAATGTCCAGCCTCAGGCTCTCCGGAGGTACGGTCACCATAGCAACCTTTGAACCAAATGGTCAATATGACAGGTCATGAACTTTGTTTGTGACCCGTTAGGTCCGTTGGCCTCGGTGGCCTGTGCCAAGCTGGGGAACAGGGTTACCTCCATAGTGGGGGCGCTTTTAGTCAGCGCCGGCTTTCTCTCCAGCATATTTGCCACCAGCGTGATCTACCTTTACATTAGCATGGGGTTAGTTGTTGGTGAGTATTTAGTAATGTTTTGTTTTATAAATCAAAGTTAAATATTGGAGGGTTATTATGCAAAAAGTAATCTATAAAACTTTGATTTTTCCAGGTCTCGGGTTTGCTCTTCTTTATCAGGCCACCTCTGTTGTAACAGTGACCTATTTCCGAAAGAGACTGGCAACTGCATATTCTATTGGACGCTCTGGCATGGGTCTGACCTTTGCCCTCGCTCCTTTCACTCAGCTGCTTTTGGATCAGTATGCTTGGCAGGGTAATTGGCTTTCGGATGCATTATTATAACAATTGTTCAGAAAGTTTGAGGAACTGCATTTATTTGAATTATACATCTTGTGTAACATTTTAAATGTCTTTACTGTAATTTTGGAGTAATTTAACAAATCCTTGCTGAATAAAAGTGTCAATTCCTTTCAATAAATAAATAAATCTTATTATTTACACGGACTGTTTTTTGTTCTGTCTTTAGGAGCTCTGTTGATTTTGGGAGGTTTGATGCTGAACCTTGTGGCTTCTGGGATGCTTTTGCGGCCCATTAACGTTAGACCTCCAGCTTTACACATGTCAAACTCCACCCTTCATCAGGCTGGGTCAGAGAAAGATCCTCTTAAGAACAATATGAATGGCAACACGCCTGTGTCCAATGGCACTTCCAAAATGGACAGCTCATCCACCAATCACAGGGACACACTTATAATAGAGAACCCAGCTCATGAGCAGAACACTCTTCCACATCCGGAACTCAAAAAATCCATCCAGAATGGGGTGAACGGAACGGATGGCAGCCAAGTTAAAACGTCCCCTGAGATGAATGGGGTTTCTCCTGTGGATGCGTTACTTGAGAACAGCAAAACAGAAACTCTTCCTGAAAACCCCCAAAAAGTGCTGGACTTCTCGCTGTTGAAGAACCCTTTCTTTTGCATCTACACCTGGTCGCTAGTCTTCAGTCAGCTGGCTTATTTTATCCCTTACTTCCATTTGTCTGCAAGGGCCCGGAACCTGGGCATCGACCCCATGGATGCTTCCTTCATCATCTCTGTGGCTGGTGAGTCAAATTACCTTTGACCAACCTACAGTATGTAACACTAGAGTTTTGTTTTCCCACTGTCATCTATTTTAAGTATAAAGTGCTTTTTACAGAATTCATTTTGCATTAGCAGGGGAAAATATAGATAAAGGTTCGGGGACAAAGGTTACATGAAGATTCTAATTATAAAAGTTTAGTTTTAGTTTATTTGTATAGCACAATAAAACAACTGTCGCTGACCATTGTGCTGTACAAAAATTGTAAAAACAACAGCAATCAAAACAATAAAATAAAATTACATACAAATACATTTTACATATAGAAAACAAGCTCAGAAAGACTCACATTTTATAAGCCTTCTGCAAAAGGTAGGTTTTATATAATATATAGAGTGGTTAAAACATGTGTCATGTGTGACAGTGTCACAAGTTTTGTTTTAAACAGAGATTCTGTAGCGATTAGCCTAATAGATAACAGAAGGCTATTCCACAATTTGGGGTCGACTATGGCAAAAGCCCGGTCTCCCTTTCGAAGTTACCTAACTTTCAAAGTTACCTATTGCATAAAAAAGTCCTCTCAGCATGTTTGTTATTTCTGTTCTCTGGCTGCAACACTTTAATTGTACACTAATAATGTGTTACAGTAGAAGAAATCAATAGGACGTAAGCACTGCTGAGCTGTGCTGTGGAAAATTGAAAGACAAAAGACCCTGTAATGTCAGTGCTAGTGGACCGCGTGTCATTAGCGGTGCCAGAGAACTGATTTTTTTTCTGGCTTCATCAGTGCTGTGTTTCTGAAAGGCCGTACCTGAGCGATGCACTAAGGCCATTGTGCTTTGCAGCAAGATGTGCTCCCATATGGGCTTCAAAGGGTTGATGCAAACGCAGCCAACTTCACATTAATTATTTGTGAGCAGTTTAAAATCTGCAGTGTTATGCAATGAGTTCTCTTACATAAATAATGAACTTTGGCCCAGTGGCTAAAACCAGAGGGCTTGTAAGTGCCCTGTCAAAAATGCCATAGTGAATGACAATTTACACACATGAGTTTCTCAAACATGCTTTTTTTCAATCATTTACATTTCGTTACTAAAAGGTAGTAGTAACGAATACGCCCACAAAGATGTTGTCAGGACATGTAGTAATCTAAACATGCAACACCTTATTAATTATCTGTATGTTTAACGCAATACACACCCTGACGAAGGCTCTCTTATCACGACATTTCTGTTGTCGTATTTTTAACGTGCCAGCCCTATTTTAATTTTAAATAAAATTCTGACCGATATGATAAGCTGTTGGTTATTTTTATGTTATAGCCGATAACTGACCAAATGACCAGTAATAAAATTATTGACTATTTTGTGAAAATAAATTAAGAATAAAATGCAATCGTGTATACCTAGTAAGCCAAAAAGTCACTTTTCAGCGTCTCACCTAAAATGTATGAATGTCTCTAAATAATTTGACAAAATATCAAACCAAATATAATTTATTTTAAATACAGCACATTTTTTTAATTCATAAATCACTGGAAAAATGTCTCAAAGGGAAATGTTTAGCATCACTTATTCACAGATGCCATTTGTTTTAAAATGTTTAAGTGTCCAAATACTTTTTGAAGCCACTGTATTTCATTTAATTTTGCCATTTTCTGTTTTGCCTGATTTAAGCTGTCAAAAAAAAACTGCTTCCAGAAAAAAATTGCTAGTAAGTTTCACAAATAATTACAAAGAAACGGCAAGTAACACATTGGAAATAAACATGACATTTGGAAGTAGAAACACTGAAATAGCATTTTCTTGTAAAATGTACTCCAATAATCTTTGTTTTTGAAAAATGATTTTTTACTGAGTACTCTACCGTTTAGTGAATGAATTTGATACGGTTATTTTGTAATCCAGCATGAGAGTCTGATAGCCCCACCCCCTCCGCTACGGAACTTGAGAGAATATAGTGTCCAACATTTCACACTTTTTCGGTTAATTAAGTGCTGAGTATTTAAAGTGCAATTTTCAGTGTAAATATATTACTCGCGTATTCCAAACGTCTCTTATCCCCCACCCCCTCCCACCTGCACTTTGCAGTTTTCACATCAGGCAGGGTGAGCAAGGGAACTAAAGCTCACCTCCTCGTGGCAGGTCACACACAGTCGGTGAGCTGAGGGAAGTCGCTAAGCAACAGCCCAAGTAGCTGACGCGAAGCTTGGTAGTTCTGTGCCCAGTTCTGAAGTGCCTGATATTGTGTGGCTTGCCACCGAGGCAGCAATGCGGACAAAAGAGGGCGAGGAGACGAGCCAAACACGTTTTGTGTTTTAATGAGCTAGTAGCGATCGGACATGCATTTGGACTCTCTGTACCTCAGTGAGGGCCTATTGTCCGCCTTTGATGTAGTGGGGACATTGCATTCGTCCAGTCCTTTTGTGTCCACTGGGTGAAGTACACAAAGACACAAACACCTGTCACATGCCCGATTACCCTGGTGAAAGTCCCCCTATACACTACAGAGTTTTGTGGACTAGGCTTCTCCATTTAAAGGCAGTTTACTACTTTCTGTCACGGAGATGTTCTATTGAAGTTTCATTGTACAAAGCATGACAGGAACAGCTGTGAAACTCAATGGCCCTGCTGGGATTTAAACACACAAACAACGCACAAAATGTCTTCGGGTCCAAGCGGGGCACACCAGGATGTCACCTTTAGTGGCGCACCGAGGACACGCAAACATTGAGCAGCTGTTTTGTTTTATGTCTGGCCAGCAATAAATGACCCCACATGTGCATGAACTGCAGCATCAGCCCACGCCGTCAGTTCTACATGAGCTGGGCTGTGTTTCCCAAAAGCATCTTTAGCCTAAGTTGATCTTAGAGACCATTGGTGGCAATTGTTCTAAGATCAACTTAGGCTTACGATGCTTTTGGGAAGCAGCCCTGGTCAGTATGGTTGATCATGCCAACACCTCTAGGTTTTTGTGTAAACATTTCGTTAGTTAAGAGATTATGAATGAATTACAGGATAAATATGATCCAATGTATGGGGCATATGTGCATTTGTTTTATACATCCAATAAACTGTGGCAGCCTGCATGTCACCAGTGTGTGTCACACTTTGGATCTGTTGCGTATGTATGAATCTGCAATAGTGCTGCATCAGGTCTTTTTCTAGACTGTTCAATAATGCTCTGCAGCACACGGACACGCAATCACAACTGCGGCTCAGACAACAGCAAATACAAACCAGCACTGAACGCTTTGTACAGAACACCACAAAATAACTAAGCTGTTATCATTACTTCTGTTCTTCTGTCACTCTTTGAACTGAAAAATAGATTCTGCCAGAGGCTAAAAGCAATTAACTGACAGTTAAGCACTCTTTTTCATTATTTCTTGTTAGATCAGATGTTTGGGATGGAAATTTTATTTATTTTTATTTTTTGGAAAGAAGTCTCATAAATGCAGTCTTATACTCACAAGGCTGCATTTATTTGATGATCAAAAACAGAAATATTAATATAAATTGTTTTCTATTTTAATATATTTTAAAATGTAATGTATTACTGTGATGGCAAAGCTACATTTTCAGCGTTAGCCTTCGGTCTCACATGATCCTTCAGAAATCATTCTATGCGGATTTGATGCTCAAGAAACCGTGATACTTTTTTTTCAGGATTTTTTGATGAATAGAAAGTTCAAAAGAACAGCATTTATTTAAAATAGAAATATTTTGTAATGTTATAAAGTTTTTACTGTCACTATTGATCAACGTAATGCATCCTTGATGAATAGAAGAATTCATTTATTTAATTCTCACACGTGGAAAGGATTGAATGAATGACTTGAAATATGCACAAGTCATTTAGCTCACTGTCATTACACCTTTAGGGTGCTTTTTGTCATTTTGCATCTTGACAGTCACAGCCCCGGGCCTGGTCACAGGCCTCATTTGCATACTGAAAAGAGGTCAAACAGGTTTGGAACAACATGAGGGTGAGGTAATAATATAAAATACCAAGCTGCAGTGATCGGCATTTACAAAGAAATAATCCGCAGCTATTGCGTGCCTGATGATGGTTGACCAAATTCAGATTTATTCAAAGGAGAAAATCTTTTCATTTTAGCATAACTTTTAAGCTCACTCATTAATGTGTTGCCATCTGCTAGTGGCTTAATATAATACTTCAATACTGTATAAGCATGAAAGCTTTAAAGAATCCAACAATAAGTGGTCCATTTTCAGTCCATCAGTTCAGCGCCTTTTCTGTCTCACAGGTATAACAGAGACGATGTCCCAACTTGCATCTGGTTGGGTGACAGACAGGAATCTAGTTAACAAATATCACTACCATAAGACCTACCTGATCCTGTGTGGTGTGGTCAATCTTCTCTCCCCTCTGGCCACCTCCTACATCTTGCTCATGGTCTACGCTATCTTCTTTGCCATCTTTTGTGGGGGGTACATGGCCCTACTACTTCCTGTCCTGGTGAGTACTGGCAAAATGAATAAGACAATTTTCTACATACAGTAATACCATATTAAAATAAATTCAGAATCTAAAAAATTAAACACTATCAAAACAATTAGATTAGCTAAACACCTACAAAGGTGTTAGTCTTTCGATTTCATTACCATCTAAACAAAATAGGACTCCTGAATAATTTTGTACTGGCATTTTGTATAGATAGTAATGAAATTGAAAGACTAACACCTGTATAGGTGTTCTGCTACATCTAATTGTTTTGATTGTATTTTGAAATTTTTAGTTTTAGTATATATGTCAATATGGTATTACTTATTCATTTTTGTATTATGTAAGGTTTTGAACTTAAGTTAAACAGTTTTGAAAAGAGTATCTTAGTGCAAATTGTTCTGTAGGTACATAGAGTTTTGGTGGTGTTTCTGTCTTTAAGTGAGAAAACTGACTGGACTGGTTGGCAGGGTTTGAGGACATCCTAGTACTGAGTGCTGGTTCCTCCACTTCTATTAAATGTGCTCATGAAAAGGTCTCCGTACCTTTCTAAGTATTGAGACATTGAGTTCTTGTGCTGTAATACTGTGCAGGGCAGTGTAAGGAGAGAGGGATAGATTGACAGTCAGCACTGCAGTGCACCCGTTCCTCTGACTGGAAGGAATCTTAGGTTTTACCTTTCAAATATTTTTACAACCTATGGAAACACTCTCAGTGAATCAGAAAAAGACACTGGGGGGAAACAGTCTTTTGCCAACATGCATAGACATTAAATGAGTGTTGCTTGTTGAATTTAAAAAAGCAATTATGTTGAACATTGCTTTGAACAGAAGAAGTGAACTCCCTGAACCTCAAGAAGAGTCGACACAATGTCATTACTTGCCCAAATGTGATATACAAATCAGATGTTCTATTATGATTGAATTAGTGAGTAAATGTGAAAGAATCTCCTCCATTGCAGCAATGTTTCATATATGGTGCTAGAAAATTTTTAAAGTCCTTAAAATAATTATGAAATAAATACACTTCCATTCAAAAGTTAAGGGTCTCCATACGATTAGGTGACATATAATTTTTGTGTTAACAGTGAAAAATTTTTAAATTTTTAAAATCATTAAAAGTCCTGGAAAAAATGTATCACTGTTTAAATATTTAAAAAAAATTAAGCAGATCAACTGTCTCCAAATCAGCATATTAGAATGATTTCTGAAGGATCATGTGACACTAAAGACTGGAGTAATGATGCTGAAAAAAAAATTCTGAATTACTGTATAATAATTATCTAATAATAATCTTCTGGCCTAGTCAGAGAAGTCATAATCTGTCAATATGTCATCTGTCATAAATATCATTCGTTTTCCTGTCTGCGTTTTCCAGGTGGACTTGGTGGGTTCTGAAAAGCTGAACAACTCGATGGGGTTCTCAATGTTCTTTGTGGGGCTTGGCTGTCTCACAGGTCCTCCTCTTGCAGGTATGTAGAGTTTGAATGAGTTCCATGACTAGATCATACAAGCATCAATAGGTAAATGCAGTCTTGATATTTCACGAAAATAACCTGCAGCTTTGGAAAGTCTTGGCCAGTCTTGATAATGTGTAAGACTAGCCTGCTTCTGTGTGTGCGGCTTAAGGGACACTGCGGTCATTTAGTTTCAAATTCCAATTTAAGTGGGTTACAGATGGGAGACATGTTAACCCATCTAAAAATAGGATGACCTGACTGTTTTTCATTATAATATAATGCTGAACAAATACCTTTAGGCTACTTTCAGGATTATAGAACATATATTCATTTGTCTTATTTGTTGCTATTTATTAGCAATGTTCAGTAATACATCCCAATACAGAATCTCCTTATGTAGAACAGCTGTAAAGCGAGGGACAATTCTTGGAAATACAAGTCTTGCAGAGGGGCCTCTTTAGGAAGGCGAGTATAGACCTTGCTCTGAACTCTGTTACAGTTATGCTAACATGAACCATCTTGTCAGGGCCCCCTTCCACAATCTCTCCGCCTACCAAAAATGATGAGCAGCCAGGGAAGCAAAACTGATTTTTCTATCCCACCCAAGGCCTTTCCGGACATGAGCCGCTTTTGCTTGCGTAGCGAAAACAAGCCGTCGTTTTAAAAGCGTATCCAGTCAGAAAACAGGTGTGGGAGATTCTGGGGTGGAAAGTGAAGAAAGTTTTCTCCATCTGTCCATCATCTTAAGCGTTAGGTAACTGACTGTTCGCAAATGTATCTCGCAAGGGAAAGTAAAAAATAAAACCTTTTTTCCTTGTTTTCTTCATTGACTTCTATTTAAGGAAAACATCGCTTCTGCCAACAGTTCAATATATGTCTAACGCATTGCGTTTTTCCTGAAGGCTTCCTGTACGACTACACACAGACCTACGACTGCTCCTTCTACCTGGCAGGTGCGTGTTACCTGTTATCATCAGTTTCTCTCTTTCTCGAGCCTCTGGCGAGACGCTGGCAAGCCCGAAAGAAACGGCTGGAGACGATGAGTGAAGAATTGATGTGGAATAACGGCTGTTTCTGCCCGGCGCCTCAGAGGAATGGTGTTGTATAATAAAGGAAATAAACTCAAAGCCATTTTACTTTCCACCATGTCATGTGGTTCTGATCGGAAGAGAACCTGACCTGAACATTTGGCGGGACCACAGTGTGGCAAGCAAATGAATGTTCATTTGAATATAGAGACCAATAAATGAATGCTTGAGGACACTACAATGCAAACTATTTTGTTAGTGGGTGAATGAAAATGGATTTTGTTGAATCGGTTTGATATATAAACAAATAGTATGTTTCCCTCACCGCAATCTTCAATGACAATCAAATCAGCACAAGAACAAAATGAAGTCTTCATCACCACATACGCATTTATTTTCCAGCACATTATGAATCAGGATCTTCCTTCACTAGAAAGTTCCTCGAAAGCTTCCACTGACACATTTTACTCACTTAGGCAAATAAACTAGAACTAAAATAAGGGTATTTTGTCAGATGGTGATGGGTCTATGCAATAAGCCTAAGACGGCTGCTGCTTCTGTGAGTCCCCATTTTGAGCCTTTAATGCCTGTTCATGTCTATTGATGTGTATCAGTTGCTACGAAGCTGTGTAAATGACTACACAATGACTGAAAACAACATAGATTTTGTTTTGCCGTCAGTGCCCCAAGTGGAATACATTTGGAGGCAGAATATTCCAGACATGGACTTTTCTTCTCACTTGTGCCAATTCAGTCACACTGTCATTCACTACTGACAACAACCAAGAGATTTGCTGGAACAAGTGAATATTCTTCTGATGCTAATGAGCCAAGTGTTGCAAGAATTAGGTCATTGGGTTCATGTGTACCTGTACGAGAGGCCCAGATGGTGAGCCTTTATGTGGAGAGTTTCTCGAAAGTGCAAATCCTTTATACTTATTGAATTTTTTTATTTTTAGGTTTTGCTGGGTAATCTACAGTGCACTATGTTTTTTCGCCACTATTTGCCTTTGTACACAATGACTGTGCTAAATATCATGTAATGAGAGCCAAAGATGCAATAGAAATATAATTGTTCAATCTATGCCTTTGAACATGTCCTTTGTTTATAGAAATACAATCTAGTTGCTGCTCCGCACGTTAGTTCCCTCATGAAGTTCTGCGTGAGCTGTTGCCCTCTAGAGGCACTAATGATGTACTGCTACTGGAATGTTGTATCAATTAACATGCAATCCATGTTCTGGAATGTCTAGTTCTTTCCGTTCATCAGCAAGTAAATACAAACAGTATTCCCTAACAAGAATGAGCAAGACTTGCACAACTGTGACCATTTAACAAATAAGCACATCACAAAGATAAGAACAGTACGCCACACTCTGGCCACTCTTTTCTTTCTTTTTTTTTTTTTTTTTTTTGCAGAAGGCATTTCTTTATCACTCTTAATTGTTTAATAAAAGCAAGTTTCTTTGGAGAAATGGGTTAGAAATGTTTTGGTAATGTTGTATAAATTGTTTGTAAACTCAAAAACTAGCCTTAAAGACAGTTAAAGGTACAGGTAACCCAAAAATGAAAATTCTGTCATCATTTACTCACCCACAAGTTGATCCAAACCTGTACGAGTTTCTTTCTTCTGCTGAACACAAAGATATTTTGAAGAATGTTTTAACCAAACCGTTGATGGACCCCTTTGACTTCCATAGTAAAAAAACAAAACTATGGAAGTCAATGGGGACCAGAAACCAACATTTTTCAAAATATCTTTCTTTGTGTTCAACAGAACAAAAAACTCATACAGGTTTAAAATAACATCAGGGTGAGTAAATTACATAATTTTCCTTTTTGGGTGAATAAGGGGACACAATAACACTATTATTGTCAATGGCAGACTTCAGCAATTCTGTACTGTTAGTGATTTTGTAATTGTGTGGAAATGTGATGGCATTATGCTGGTATTGGGGTTATTAACTGAAAGTGGTTTTTTGTGTGTGTTTTTTTTTACTGTTTCTGAAGGTTTTGAATAATTATTTTGTTGACAATGCTCACAGCTGTTAAGATTTACATGACTGCAATTAAAGCCCGCAGTAAATTTGACAAAGCAACTGGGTTTTCTGTAAAACATTTGTTGATACCTGAGAGATGTTCTCCTTTTTCCCCATGAGGAAAATATAAAAGAAAATAGTTTATCTTCAAATCAGAATGTACTATGATCTTTAAAATGCAACTGTCTGAAGTACATTATTTTAATTAGCTTTTTGAAAAAAAAGATTGCATTTTCATGTGTAAAATCAAAATCAAAACAAAGTGGTGTAAAAATATCTTTATTGAGAACACAATGTAGTACATACAACAATGGTAGGCAGTATTTACATTTTGAATGCATCATTACTCTAATATAAAAAAAATTGTAAAATATTATATTACAAAAAATCATTAGCACCCATTAGTATTATTAACCTACTCAATTCTAAAACATGGAGAGAAAAAATGCTTAGATTACAACTTGTACTTACAGAAATGTGAGCCGTGATGAGACTATTCCGTGTTTAATCACTGATGGATGGATACCCACAATGCAACACTGATGTTCTGTAGACACCAAAAACAGCACATAAAGAGGTGTAGCAAAATCTCATTAATTACATGCATAAAAGAAAACATGAAAACCTAATCAAAGGCTTATAATCAATAACAAACCATCTAAGTTTCTCTCAGCAGATAAAGATCCGTCTACCAGGAACACATTCAGATCAGCACACCGGTAAAACAAATATATTTCAGCATACCGGTATACTTGCTAGAGGGATAGTCGGTGTTAAAGTGAAGTTATAACAGCAGAGGATGCAGATAGGTCACATATGGCATGAACATTATACTGTGTTGTAAAACAGATTCATGAAGAATTTCAATGATCACTCTATAATAATTAGCACATGTATAATTCTAAAAAGCTAATTCTGGCTGTATTCAGTTTGCACATTTAACTTGAGTTTCCAATAATCACTCAGAGTAGTAAGGTCATTTTTATTAAGATCAGAGGGTAGAAAGCCTCTTGTGAGGCCTGAAATAGTTTTATAGTCATCATGTGGTAGCTTATGGAGAGAACTAAGCTACAACCAGGAACAATGAGCTAATGTTTTGGACTGTCAGACTTAATGTGGTCTTTTCATTGCTCGGAAAAGTGCCAGGACTACACAAAGAGATTATGCAAATGAGCCCAGAGGAGGGGCTCAAGTGTTACCGTGGAGACCTACGGTTACCGAGTTACCAGGCCCATTCCATAGCATCAGAAGACAGGCCAGTCAGTCAGAACTGTGGTGAAGACACAAGAGAAAACATAAGACACCATAGCTGAGTGCCATGGACTGAGAGAACTCATCATTTTCATCACTGCCATGGTATTCTCTCAATGCCTAACTGAAACTGGACATGTAAAAATGTTAAAGAGATGAATTATATCAGGTGAATTTGTTAATGCAAATGGATTTAATATTAGTCAGTGCCCAAATCTTTTTGCAAAGAGCAGATTTTGGTCAATAGAACACCACATCTATACTCATAATAAAAGCAGTCTCATTTTAAAGGCAGCGCCCTCCGGAGGGCACCTTTGTGGAACGCATATGTCATCCAGGATGTTTCCTTACAGAAAAGTAATCATTATAAAATTAACTGTTCCTTGGGATGAGTACATTATATTATATATATATGTCATTTATTTTTTATTTTCTTTAGATTGTAATGGTTACTTTTCTGAAATGAGGCAGCCTCAATGACATATGACCTCCGGAGGGTGCAGCCTTCAAAATGAGTCGCAATTTGAAATAAAACACCAATATTTCTGTAAAGGTACTGTAAAATTCGAAGATTGACTATTTTATAACGGAGTATATATATATATATTTATACATACATACATAATATTTCAGCTTGTTAATTCTATTCATATTCATGGCCAAAAATTATGTTTGTACAGGAAAATTCCTGTTTGTTTTTGTTTATAAAGTGATCTTCATAAGAATACCAATATTAACAATGTCATTCATTGTGAAGGTAGAAATTATGACAGTCCTATGTGAAAAAAAGCCCTGTGCAATTAAATCATTTTTCTGTCACCCATCATAATTTAAACTGAGATATTCAACACAATCTCCCACAGCCCCTGGTTATTTTCAAGTCTGTTCATAATCAATGAAGTTTACTGCATAACTAATGTAATCACTATCTTCTTCATTTCCTGCAATCATTAGGAAAATATTTTACAATCAGGAGGAGCCTTATTATGTACCTAGTGCTCTAAGAACCCATCAATAAGTTACATTGAAAATTATCAATAGAACTTATAAGGCAATTAATTGTTATGATTATAAGGCTGATTAAATGGCTTACAAGGCTAATAGTAAATCTAGTGAAGCTTTAACTGGAATGAAAAATTACTTTAAATTACTCACCCTCATGTTGTTCCAAACCTGTACGAGGTTCTTTCTTCTGTTGAACGCATAAGAAGATATTTTGAAAAATGTTGGTGTCCAGACAGTTGACGGTAGCCATTGACTTCCATAGTAGGAAAAAAACAAAAAACTATGAAAGTCAATGGGGTCCATCAACTGTCTGGACACCAACGTTCTTTAAAATATCTTATTTTGTGTTCAACATAAGAAAGAAACTCGTACAGGTTTGGAACAACCTGACAGTGAGTACAATCTATCCCTTTAAATTTTATATGTAAATTGTAAATGTGGTTGCTTTAGATCTTATAAAAGCCGTCTCCAATTTTTTATAATCCAAATAAAAATTTAAGAACACAGATATACTTATTTTAAAGGTTTATTATTTTTTTATTTTCTAAATTTATTTAAAATTATTAGGGTTAATTTGGGTTATGGTCATTCTAGAGATACAACCAACTATTATGTTTGCATGTATGAATAATATATAGGTTATTCATTTATTTACATTTGAAAATACAATGCATTTATTATTCTTAACTTAAAGGGATAGTTCACCCAAAAATGCAAATTCTGTCATCATTTACTCACCCTCATGTCATTCCAAACCTGGATGACTTTTTTTTTTTTTTTTTTTGAAAACAAAAGATATTTTGAAGAATGTTTTAACCATTGTTGCCCGTACAGTTAAAGTCAATAGGGTCCAAAACAACAATTTGAAAAATTATATGTCGAAAAAATCATACAGGTTTGGAAGAACATGAGTGAGTACATTTTCAGGTGAACTAGTGCTTTAACATGAACATCCTTATTGCCAGTTTATTTGTGTAAATAAATTCACAAGTCTTTGACCTCCTACCAAAAATCTAGCACAACAAATATTTCAGTAACACTTTACAAGTCTCATATGAACTAACAATGAGCAATACATTTGTTATAGTATATAATCTTTGTTAATAAAAAAAATACAGTTGTTCATGTTAGTTCACAGTGCATTAATGCTAACAAATACAACTTTTAATTTGAATAATGTACTAGTAAATGTTGAAAAGAACTAAAATGAATAAATCATGTAAAATATTGTTCATTCTTAGTTCATGTTAACTAATTGTAAAGTGATACTGATATTTTTGCATTTTTCTTTGAAAGAAATGTTTTGGATAATACAGGCCAAGATGTCACAGTTACAGTCAATGGCAATGTCCTAATGCATTTGTTTAACTGACACTTACCTGTACCAGGTAGACTCTGAGTCTAAAGACCTGGTATGAAGCAAATGCTCCCTACTCACCACCCACACCAGAGGACTGGTCTGGATCCTCACACCAGAGGCCTGAATGAGCTGCTGGTGAAGTGATGCAGCTGACCGCATGTCTTACTAAGGAAAGGGAAGGAGGTGGTGTTCATTCTCTTCCTCCTGATGAGGCTCCTCGCAACGCAAGCAAACTCCATGTTAACTTTGGGTGGAGTTCACAAGGGCAGCTTGTTTTCTCTCAGGGGTTCTTCACAACGGAGGGTCAATTAACCACGTACCGATCATCTGGATGCATTTTACAATCTCTTTCGGGAAAATAGACGTTTAAGGAAACAAAACTATCAAAGCTCGATTCGAGGCGCACACAATTTCGAAGGCTAAAACCGCTTTTTTTTTGGCTTTTCTAAATCCTCTTCCTTCACTGATTTTCAATGGAGCAAAACAAAATCATATCAGACGAAATCAAAGGATGGGATAAACAAATGCCTGCTCCTCTGAATTGGAAATCACTGATATCAGGTAAGGTTCAGGCAGTCGTGCTGGCAATGC